TTCTGACTGATGTCTTTCAGAGGTGCTTGTGGGAACTGAATGTGAGAAGTTTGGTAGACAGTACCCACCTCCTTTGAAGAGCTTTGAGCAGAGTTCTTGGGACAGAGACTGGAAAGTTTCTCATTTTACAACGTTCCTGTCACCTAGACTACATTAACATGATCTTTGCAAACAGTTTCAGTCTTATGTAGGGTTAAGTCTAAGAAGCAGCACTGTTGCCTTAAAAGAAATAATAGTGCTGCATTTTGTAGCTCTTGTAGGGACAGAAGTAGGCAACGTTTTGCAGTCTCGCCAGTCAAACAGGTCTTCTCTCTGGAGTCACACTGTTTAAAAGTTTTTATTACAGTTTCAATATGCTAGTGTAGATTTAAAGACATAGTCCAGGGCTCCCTTTTTTTGGATGTGGTTTTTTTTGTTTGATTGTAGAACTTTTTTGACTTCCCTAACTCCCATTTTTGTTTACAGCAGTACACCTGCTCTGCATCTAATGCAAGCTTTCAAAGACTGACAGTCATTAGAAAAAGTTCTCAGACATTAGAAACTCTGCTCCAAAAAAAAGTCAGAGAAGTTTTCTACCAAAGTTGGGCCAAGATAGGCTACCTTGAATCAAAAGGAGCATCATTCCTTCAGTATCAGAGTACCAGTTATAGAAAGCCATGTGATAGCTCAGCTGTCCTTGAAGTAGCTGGCAACTCAAAAGGTGCTCTTAAAACAGCAACTAATTTTCAAGATTTAAAACTTTGAGCAGGCCTTTCTATAGGTTGTGGGAGTTCTTGTAATTGCTTTATGGATCCTGTAGTAAGGACAGATTTCTGCAGCTTGATTGTAAACCTTGGGAAAAAGAAATGGTTTGTAGAGATTTGTTGGCTGCCATGATGTTTTTCGATGCAAGTCTAGTGAGCTAGGTTTGGGGGGTGGGGAGAGGGTGGAAGAGGAAGCACGGGAATGTTGTTGCTATTGTGATGCAAGTAATGGGAGGAACTTGAGCAAATTTTCTGTTTTGCTTTGACTTTTTTCTTTCTTGCTTGCTCTTGAACATCTGAAACTGTCGTGTGTGTGTGTGTCCTGTTCAATACTGAATTCCTATCTCTCACACTTTCAGGTGGGCATTCTAGAAACAACAGTGGAAGCTCTGAGTCCAGTCTTCCCAACATAGCCAGGTCTTTACTGCTGGTGGATCAGCTCATAGACCTGTAGCAGTGACACAGAGCAGACGCAGTTTCTGTAACGTACCTAATCCTCCGTTTTCATTTCCAGAAGAGTTACCTTCAGTTGTGGTTCTTTTGGGCTTTTTTTTTTTTTCCCCCCTCCTTAATTAAAAGAAAAACAAATCTCCCAACAGGAGACAGGCACCCACCTTTCTCCCTGTCTTCCCATGCCCTGGGAAAGATTCTCAGTTCTCCAGGTAGTCCTATCTAAAGCTGGTAAAAACCTGTTACGGTTCCTTCTGCACCTGTCTTTAATAGCCTGTGTCTAAAGGGAGCACCATCCTTAGCCGCCCTGCTGAGATGTACACATAGCACCATGGAAAGCCTAACTGTAAATGACTTAGATACCTGTAGCTGATGTATGATCCCTGTGTACAAGAGACTCCTTTCTCCTTAGAGTAGTGCGTGAACAACTGTGTTTCAATCTTTGCGTTTGTGTTTTTGGGTTTGGTTTTTGTTTTGTTCCTGTTTTCTGATGAATGAGCAGGAGGAAGGGGACAGGTGAAATCAGTAGGGCTGCCCCTCTCCTGCAGAATACAGGTTAGGAGAGCTGATGTTTCTAAATCACCAGTATATGCTTCAGAGGAGGAGAAAGCACTGAATTCCTCTGAAGTAGTCTTGCCTAGTACCTCTGGTGATGGTGCATATGAAGAGAGTTTTCCGGACTGCCCCCAGCTAATGGTTTGCTGTTTAACAATCCTGCTTGTGAATGAACTGCGCTTCCTTGTGGGAGGGGGGGAAAAAAAGAAAAAAGAAAAAACCAAGATTGTTAAAGCTGCAAAAATGACCCTAAGTGAAATGTAACAAGGTTTTGAACCAAATACATGTGAGTATGGCTGTGACTAGCATTTTGTTGACCTTTTTTGGATGAAAAGGACATTGTGGCAGCAGCAGGTGTATTTTCTGTGACTTCTCTTCTGTGTTTGACTGGAAAAAAAGAAAATTCCCCCAGCCTACTGTAAATTGTGTATGAAAAAAATTGTCCTACAGTTGTTTGTCTATTTTTAATCCTGGTTTTAGTCAAGCAACTGGTATCTGTTCTGAGTTCCCCCTTTTCTCTTGTAACTGCATATAGTGCAAATCAGTTAAGTATGGAACCATTTGTTTCAGTAGACAAAGATTACTGTGGACTTTATTCCACTCTTCAGTCTTTGTGGAACAAGCATGCACTTGGTTCAGATGGTTTGAAATAAGTGCTGCTACAACTTGATGGGTTTTACCTTTTCTTTTTCCCTTCACATGCTTAGTTTGTCAACTAGCTGGATACGCTAAACTTGTTTTCATTGGCTTATGGTCATGAAGTCCGGAATTTCTATCTTGTATTTGAAAGCTCTTTCTGAACAGAAGGACTCTTCCTCTGTAGTGGAATAATTAATAGCTTATTGCTAACCTTGTGTATGTGTATGTAGCTGTATTAGTAAAAGTGCAGTTTCCCATGTGCGAAAGTATGAACGACTGAACTATGTATGTACTGACCTCCCGCTAAGAAGGAAAGAAATCAAAGTTCGTGACTACTCCTTTCCTATCTCCAGTCTCTCCGCTATTCCCCCACCCCAACACTTAGTTTAACAAATTCTGTAAATAGAACTACCATCGATTGTGTCTGCTCTACATTACTCTTCTTTTAAAACCTACACTTAATAATAAAAGTATTGCTTAAGTGTGTTGTATCATTACATGTGTATACTGCACTTTCCGAGAGAAGCTTTACATAAGAACTATGGAAATGACCTTAGTAAAATTGTGGATAGAACTTTATTATTTTTTTGTTTTATATTCCTAAAGCACAGGCAAGCTGGACTGGAAAACATGAAGACGCTATAGATAGAAAGTTATTGTATAGTCAGATACTGAGATTATATGAAAAGAGAATGGATTTTAAAAAGTAACCATCTACTGTATATTAGAAACAAAGATTTCTGTGAATTAAAGTACTTTTAAAGAATGTTTAAGATTTTACATCTAATGGCGCTTGTTCAAGGGTTCTGGAAAAAATTATAAATGCACTGGGTTTGTTAATAATGCTATTAAATAAGCAGATGTGAATGTTTATTTTATTGCTTTTTCAAGTAGCTATTCATGGATCTGGGTGGGAAATACAATACAATGGGAGCATACGTTTTTAGAGATGTCCGTTATCTAGACCTCCTTCATCAGAAAATACTCGCCACTAATTTGTGGAATGAATGGAAAATGAGAGACGAAATGAGTGGATATTTGGGATTAATTTTAAGCTCTCCAAAAAATGTGATTGTCCTACAGGCTTTACGTTAGTGTTGGTATGCTGCTCAAAAGTTGAGGAGTTTGTGTGAAAGCTGCTGCTGTGAAGGAACAAATTGGACTTTTATCCATCGTCCGCATGGGAGACATTTGGTACCCAGCGTTCCCAAAATGGCGTAAGAATGATTCTCTCATAGCTATGGTTGGAGCCTTGTTTGAAGCCATGGGAGGTGTTTCTGTCCCCTTTTAAGGGTCATAGGGTCAGGTGTTGTTAACATAATACAAACCTACAGTCAGCAAAATCACAGCAGTGATTCTCCTCTCTGCCTGCTGTGTGCTGTTCATGTCAGAATGACAGAGGAGTCTTTCTGCCCTAACAGGCTGGAGCTTGTAGTAGGGTTCTGGGCATTAACTTTTTTGACGGATCCTCTTGGTAGGATGCTACAAATGCAAGCACGGTACATGGAGCCATTTCCTTTCAAGTCAAGGTTGTGCTTTGGATGCAAGAATAAACTTTGGTTTTGGGGTGGCAAGATGTTCAAAGGAATAGTTGGAACCTAGATGTTGGTTCTTGCTTACTCTGAGGGAGCCTGGGTTTTGAACTGCCCCTGCCTTTGGAAATCTCCCCAGTTCATCTTTTACCTGGTTGAGCACACCCACAATTCAGAGATCAGGAAATTTGTGTTGTTTCTGACAATATCCACTGTGTTGGGTGCATCTGTCCCAAAACCAGAAGGTGCAGCTTCCTGAATTCGGGCTGTCCAAGTCTTCACAGGGTTCCTTGGGACTTGGCCAAGAATCTTGGCACTGGTGGCTTTGTGGCAGACCTTCTCCATCCTCTCACAGCCCATTTACCACAAGCGAATGGCAGCCTGAGTGAATCTCTGTGTAGAGCAAATTTATTTTTAGAGGGGGGCTTCTTGTGAATGAATGACCATGGCGTTCTTTAGCCTGAAAGCTTGCAGGATATTGCCCTCAGTGACTTTCCAAAATGACCTTATTTAAAAATTGATCTTAAAAACCAAAAAAAGTTATTACAATGAAAGTTCAGATGTGATTCAGAACAAAGACAGAGTTCAACAAGTTTTGGGGTATCTGAGCAAACATAAAATGTGGAGCGTGTGGACTTCTGACTACAGAAAATGTCGTCAAGCACATAGCGTGCAGCAGTAGCATCCAAAGTGTGTGCCCACCTGTAAGGAGTAAGTTACTTTCTTTTTAGCCAATATATCATCTACTTCAGGAACTCTCACGGGAATCAGTCAGGGTTCAGGAGCAGCTGGCGTGGATGTGGGGGAAGCGTGAATGTGATGTGATGGAGTGCTCTGATGAATGAGGCTTATCGGTCAACTCGGTTACCAGTAATCGGGTGAGACTGGTTCCTGTGACTTCTCATTGCTGATGTATGTTGGCACTGCACATTAAAACTGCATTGCTCCCGCGGGAAACAGACTTGTGGTGGAGTGAGGAGGGGGAAGGAGTTTTCTTT